GTCCTCTTCACAAGGATGGGTAGCAACATGAAATCTGTCATTTTTCTAATTTGGTAAATGTCTTTCATTTGCTCTTTTCTGTAAAATGCTTGTCTGTCAAATACTAATATAAAACAAAATTATGATAGACTAGGAAGAAGGATTGGCCACCCACTTCCAAAATAACAGGCCTTCGAAAACCCTATGTACAGTATGTATAAAACCTATTCCATAGAGTGTGGGGGAAAAGACTCACTTCTGTAAGTCTACATAATGTCATGCACATTATGACAAGTCTTTATTCCAGGCTGTTGTGGTGGTGTTGTTGTTGTTATGCACTGTGGTGTCTAAACTGACTCTAGCTGACCCTCTAGTGAGTTTCAGAGGGAGGAGATTGCCCATTCTTCTCCCATGGAGTGGCTGGTGGCCTCAAAGCGCTTGCCTTCAGGATTGCAGTGAAGCTATTGCAGGTAGTTGTCTGCAAAAGTCAAAATGATGCAAGGGTTTTAAAAATATCATCCATTCAAAGGCTGATCTACAGTATAGTGGAGCATATATGGGCCATCATCCTCTAGCAAAAAGTTCTTCCAAGAAAGATGACAAGGGGGATTTTTAAAGAGGATGTTTTGTTGATTATAGCTATTAAGGCTTTGTCAGGTACACAATGAAAAATAAAGTGTGTACGTAGTGTTCCTGGAGGTCGCTATATCAGATTTGCAGCTCACCAAATTATAGGTGTTGATGTTTTCCTAGGCTCTTCTCTCCCCTTTATCATATTCTGCAATTGAAGCCTAAGATGCTAAAGAAAATATTTCAGAAAAGAAATCACTAAACATGATTTGAATTACAGGCTTTTCCTTAGACAAAGGACTTGTTGTGCTTGTATCCTTACTGAAGAAAGCCAATTCTAATCATGTATTCATACATGTAGATAGTATATTTTATAAATGTATTTATAAATGTCTTTTAATAGTGTTATTAATTAGGGTTGTTGTTAAGTGCCGTCAAGTCGCAGGTGACTCACAACGACCCTATGAAGGAGAGTCCTCAATGCTTAGGTGCCTTTCATCCTCTCTCCAGGTTCATAGGGTTCCCGGAGGTAAGCTATTACGCAAGTGGATGCCACTCCTTCATCCAAATTAATTAGGGTACTATCCACTTAATACAAATGCAAATACCTATTTGTATATTTAAATGTGTTTTTTTCTTTATTGCAGTGTTCTGACAGGTTACAATGGTACCATCTTTGCATATGGACAAACAGGCAGTGGAAAGACCTTCACCATCACTGGAGGGGCAGAGCGTTACAGTGACAGAGGCATTATCCCAAGGACACTATCTTACATTTTTGAGCAGTTACAAAAGGTATGACCCTTTAAGTTCATTTTACATTTAATATATTCAGCACAAATTTACTGTAGGCAGAAAATTTATTGTGACATTTTATTAGATTGTTTCTAAAAGAAGAAGTGTTATTGTGTAATAACTCTGGCCTTTATACTTAAGGAAAGTTTGGGATTTTGCTGAAGAAGTGGAAATTAAGAAGATGCTTCTCATTAATGACTGCTGTTTCAGCAAAGGTTTAAGGAGCTTTCCTTCTGATAGACTTATGGAGGATACTTTTAATCAACAAGTATCTTACATTCCTTATTAAGAAACTTTCGCCAAATAGACCTTCCTTTTAGTTACCATCACTGAATAGGAAAGTATTATTACACTCTATCCATGTTTTTTTTTATTAATTTCAGTGAACATCTACAGAGATTTTGGAATTCCATTCATTCATTGTTGCACTTTTATCCCCGCCCACCCCACCCCCACCCCAGCTCACTCCTCTCCCCCAAAAGCAAAAGAAAAACTCTTTCATTGGTACACAATCCCCCCACCCCGCACACCCCCACCCCACCCGGAGTATACTCTACTCTGCAACCCTCTGTTCATGATTTTAACAGAGCCCAGAGAAATTAGTAATGTTTAAAATGATCCCACTAAATTAATAATATTATAAACAAGAGTTCCATAGCCTATTACATGCATCAATTACTGAGTGTCCCCAAAAACACTTGCTTTATCAGCATTTAATAAAAACACCTAATGCAGATGACACAACATTGCTTGCCAAGGCTGAGGATGATATGAAGCATTTGTTGCAAAAGGTCAAGGACTGCACGATCCAGTATGTATTGAAGTTCAACATTAAGAAGGCAAATTGACAGTACCATAATAGATGGAGAAGAGATTGAAGTTGTTAGCAATTACAGCTTGCTTAGCTCCACAATCAACACTCTTAACACCAGCAGTCAGGAAATCAAAAGACAAATTGCAATGGGGAAAATCTGCTTTTAGGGACTTCTCCAGAGTGTTGAAGAACAAGGATGTCAATCTCTAGACTAAGATGCACCTGATCCAGGCCATGGTCTTTGCAATTACATGTTATGTATCAGAGAGTTGGACAATGAATAAGGATGATGGAAGAAGAATCAATGCCTTTGAGTTGTGGCTGAAGAAGAGTATTGAACATGGACTGCCAAGAGAACAGACAGATCTGTCCTGGTAAGGGTGAAATCAAATTGCTCCTTGGCGGAAAGTATTTTGAAGCTCTGTCTCATATTCTTTGAGCATGTGGTCCAGAGGGACAAGTCCTTTGGCAAGAACCTCATGTTTGGAAGGGTGGGTTGACAGTGCAGGAGATGACCCCGGATGAGATGGATTAATACAGTGAGTAGGTAGTGGGGGCAGTTGTGTCAGAGAAAGTGAGGTTGGCTCAGGATAGGGCAGGGTTCTGCACTATTGTGCGTAAGGTCTCTGTGAGTTATAATTGACTGGATGGCACATAACAACATAACAATGCACATATCAAGGTAGACACAATTATCTCTACTTGACAGATGGAGAAAATAAGTCTCAAGTTTAAATATCTCTTTCTGGGAACTCTAGTAGCAATCTCAAAAGCATGCAATTTGCATCTACCAGTTGCAACTCAGGAGAAAGATGGGCAATCTCGACCAAAGCAATTAACTGCCTCTGAAAACCCACTGGAGGGTCAGCTCTGGGTTGGTTCTGACTCGTTGGCACACAACAACAACAACAATGTGGAATACCAACCCATGTCTGTCTGATATCAAATCGTATGTGCTTTGTCACTGTACCAACAGGCTTCATTCTCAGATTGACTTTATTATAATGTTGTTGTTTTTGATTGCCTTCAAGTCGAGCACGACTTGTAGTGACCCTATGAACAAAAAGCCTGAAGCCGCTCTACAACTGTCGACATTTATCAAAGTTCGTAGAGTTTCTGGAGGCATGTTAGTTAGGAAGTGGATGTCATGGTTGTATTTAAATACTAACCAAATTACTCCTTGCCTTCAAGTCAGAAACCACTCATAGATGATCCTCCATTGTGTTTTCAAAGCTATAAGTCACAGAGGAAGAGATTGCTCATCTTTCTCCCTAGGAACCACTGGTAGATTTGAACTGCCAGAGAGGCAGCAGAGTTAGCAGCTCAGCTCCTTACAGACTTTGTATTTAAACAGATGCTCCAAAATGAGCCAGCTACATTCTCTGGGTTTGCATTTTCCCTTCTTTGGAAGCAGAGATAGAATGTTACTAGAGGACCTCCAGTGTCCCTACTGGCTCCAACAATTCTGCAGTTAGTTATTTGTATTCTGTATAACAAATGTCCTAACTAGGTCAGTGTAACAGTCACTCTTTAGTTTCTGGACTGTGTGCTGTTTGCATTTTGAGTTAGAAAAGATGAGAAGAAATCGCTGAGATCTGCATACTTTTAATTTCCATCCATAAAGTAGTAATTAGCCATTAGTTCAGCTCATCTCTCCCTGGCTCAAACATGCCAACCTTGTGTGCCAGAAACACTGTAAGAGAAAGAATTGAGTGCAGTATGTATGTTGGCTCCAAAGCCAATTTTCATTTGCTCATTTATTTCAGAAATTGTCTGTTTTATTTTGTTTCCAGATTCCACAAACAGGAAATGTAATTTTCAATAGTTCTTGCTGTTGGGGACTAACGTGGAAGCCTATTGTTTTGGAAGGATCATTGAAGTTAGAACAGACAGAATTGATTTTGAGGTGTCCTACTAATAGCATGTGGCACTGTGACAGTCACATAATGTCTCAGTCTTGTGTAGTGACTGTGAGGCCTGAACATGCTATGTTTATATTGCCCATTTCTTAGCACATAGTAGGTGCTCAATTTATGGTAGCTATTATTATAACCATTTCTGCATGTCCATATATCTGCATGTGGCCAAATAACTGCTGACAAACTTCAGATGATACTTTGAGCCTTTTTAGAACAAATAAAGCCACTTTTTCTGATTAAGTTTAATGGTATAAACCACATTTTCCCCCAGTGGAAAGTATTTCACTTGTCCCTTTTAAAATTTCACCTATGGTTAGTGAAATACAGTTCAAAAAGCCTAAATGTCTCCCAAGTATGTACCATCTGTTAGTTTCATTGTTTTAGATCTATTTGTCATTGGCATTAATCTAAACCCTATTTCATTCAAAAAGATACTAAATAACTTGCCTGGAATTGGAGAGAGCCCATCACACCAATTTGTAGCCAGGGTAGCTCTTTATAAATGGACAGATTTCAACAATGGGGCACAATACATTCATTATCATCAAACTGAACTGTGATGAAACAAATCAGAAGCAACTTGAAATGTATTGTGAAGTCTGCTCATGTTCACAAAGCTAAAAAATGTAGACTGGTACTCAGAGACTCCCAGTTGATAGCCTTAGCATGTGGAGTGCTCAAGAATTCTTAAAAGTAACACTTGACTTATGCAAAGAGTTTACTTCAAGATAAACTCAGAACATGGTGTGTACTAGTCCTGAAATACATGCAAGTCCAACAGGAACACATTTGCAATGACTTTAAGAGAAGAAAATTGATTCCATGTATTTTAGAAATCACCGCTGATTACTTTTGAGTATTGTGTGGTTCAAACTTGTTTTGGGGTAGGAGAGAGAAGGCTGTCTGCAGGAAACATGTGTGTTATATTACAGTTTGGCAATACTAAACACTAAAAAGTAATAAGAAGGAAAGGTAGCTTGCCACATAGCTCAGTGAATTTTGAGTGTGTATTCCAGTAAAAGTCTAGAAAATGCAGAAGCTAGGAGAGCCAAAGCACTATTCCCATCATCTCAAAGCAGTAGACCTGCCATTTTTCTGGTTTTTATGATTTTTTTTCAATTTTTGGAAGAAGACAATTCCTCCTTTGTATACTAATGTATAGATAAGTTGGCCCTTCTTTCTGTCTTTATTTTACCTTTATATTCCCAAACTTAATTTCCTATTTGGAGACTTTTAGAAATAATAATAGCGGCATCCACAAGAATAACAAGCATTTATCGCTGCCTATTATGGTGTACATGAAGTACTTGGAAAAGAACATCATGCTTGGTAAAGTAGGAGACCAGTGATAAAGAGGAAGGTGCTCTGTGTGGCCATTAAGTATGGGCTCAAATGTGGTGATGTCTATGTGGGTGGTGCAGAATTGGGTAGTGTTTCATCTTGTATCGATAGAGTTGCAGTGAAGTAGAATTGATTCGATAGCAGCTAACAATGACAATTATTGGCCACACATTTTCATATAATAATACCTTAGAGTATGTTTTATCCATATACATTGTGTTTTATACAATCTGCCATTTACATTGTGTTTCATACAATCATTCATATATATTCTATTTTCCATTATTTTTTATACTAGTTTATTTACAAAACCCGAATACATTGTTGTAAACATGACAATTCTACCAAAAGCAGTCCACATGTTCAACATAGTCTTAATCTAGATACCAAATTCATTTTCCAAGGAGATTCAAAGGGAAATTGTCAGATTTATTTGAAGAGGCAAGAGACTCCAAATAAGGAAAACACTTCTGAAGAATAAAAATGAAGTGGGAGGCATAGCACTCCCTGACCTCAAAACCTACCACACAGTGGTCGTAACCAAAACAGCATGGTGCTGCTATAATGACAGGCACATAGACCAATGAAACAGAATTGATAACCCAGAAACAGGCCCATCTATTAATGGTCAACTGATATTCAATAAGGAAATCAAACCTATCAAATGGGGAAATGACAACCTCGTCAACAAATGGTGCTGGCAAAACTGGGCTTCCACTTGCAGAAAGCTGAAACAGGATCCACATCTCACACCATCCTCAAAAATCAACTCAAGGTGGATCAGATACCTGGCAGTAAAGCCCAAAACCATGCAATTTATAAGAGACAAACTGGGATCAAGCTTAGAAGCTCTAGTCTATGATATAAAGGGACTACCAAATACAGCCAGAAACGAACAATCTGAAGAGGATAATTGATGAGTGGGA